GCATGTTTGGTGTGACGGGGATTCGAACCCGCGACCCGCAGATTTCGAGTCGAGTGCCCTAACCACCTGGCCATGCCGAGCCCTACAGTCAGGTATCTTACCTATATCTAGTTAGTAGGCCTAACTGACTGCTCGGCGGGGAAAACATTTTACAGAAAACATAGGGATTATGGGTGCTTTATAAGAGTGACTGTCAAGTCTCATTATTCGATTAGAGTGCTGTTGCCTTCCCTCAAGTCTACCAGATCAAAATTATGTACAGCTAATGCAGATAGTATCTGTGTAGTTTTGCTCGTATTTTCGAAACAAACCAAAAACATTTAGATATAGTTTTCTTTAGTTTATTGAGTGGCTTAAACAACAGTTAGCTAAAAAAAAAATCTTTCAACTAAATAAATTTATTTTATCACGTATACTCTGCTTAATCTTCCATTTGGATTCAAAATTCATACACACAACAATAAAAACATGAAACACAAAATTGCATTGTGGAAATCGGTTTCCATCTTCTTCTATGACACCTACTCGTATTTTTAAAACAACATCTCGTCTAAACATTACATATAATTATATTTAATATTTTTCACACTCTCAAGGGAAACATTATCTTTCTTACGTAATATTACGGATGGGGAAAGAGGCGACCAGTTTTCTATAATTTAAACCTATTCTTTATTACATTCCTCGACTAGCTTACTTTTCTGATGGAAGATGCTGGCCTTGTCTATCGTCCCAGTTAGAATCTGACGTGTAACTGAAAATAATCTTAAAGACAGTCACCAGGAAAATGGAAATTATTCAATTAGTTAGGCTGACGCGGCCCTACGTGAGATGACAGGAATAAGACTCATCGTCTGTGACGTCATACGGTCTAAACGACTCTGCTTGTCAGTGCTAGCCCTCAATTTTTGAAATGATTGTAGCAGAGATGAAACTTAGTTTTGAGTGATATCAAAAACAAATAAAAATTCGCCATTTTTTGTTGTATTTAATGCTACAAAAAAGCGTTTATTAGAATATAACTAGAGGGTTGAAATTTTTTAAAAAGAGAGACATCTGACATCTGAAAAACTATTATCGTTTTATATCATCTGGAAACGTTGCGGGAAACCCCACCAAGTGGTGATTCTGACAGGTTGCTTCCAAGCAGAAGTTTTGGTTTGTAAGGAAAAAATCAGACCCACGAGATGTCGCTTTGATATAATGTTGGGTAGATCAACGGTGAAATATTTATTCGAATATCCAATATTATAGATTAATGCAAGATTTTCAGAGCTACAGTAGCACACGTACATAAAAGAACAATATATATATATACATTAGTTAACTAATGACGTTTATAACATATAATCTATATGAAAATGAGAATAGTTTTGGAATGTTTTGAACAACAAAGCAATATCATTGCAAAGTTATTACGTAACTCTTGCAAAATCTTCAAACTACACTACAAATAAAAGTAAATCACCAAATAAAAAGTTGAAACGCTTAGCAAATATCATAACAAACAGATGTACATAATATATATATATTACAACTTACACTTTCCAGTCAGAAATACTGTACACCATTACAAAAAGAAGGCTTAACATCTGACTACTGGCTGGCAACAGTTATTTGTTCATGATTTCATTTTTGTTCGACGTATTGATAGGTGTTTACGAGATTAACTAGTAGTTTTCGGTAAAGGATTTGTAAAAATAAATAATTTTCTAATAATGCCATTATAATAAGTATAGCTCTTCAGCTCTTAGGAGAGAGAGAAAAAAAAATTTTTTTCAACAAGTAATGATCAATCTTTTAGCTATACATTTTATTACTACTTCTACGGTAAACCGATTTCGTTTTCCAAATCGTATTTACCATGTTACTGAAATAGATTTATTGATTACTTAAACAGACACAAATATTACTATTCCTAGATATAATAAGTCTCTTCTACAAGCTTTATATTTCATGGAATTTGTGATAGTTAACAAATATAAGGTTCGCCTACTTCTGTGCCCTCAAATCTGGCCAAACTGCTGAACTCTTTTTAAGTTTCTGACTTTGATTTATGCTGTTCTTTTTCTCTACTGCCGTGAGCTTCGTTGTCTGTGAACTCGAGAAGACTAGGACCTTTACCCTGACAAACGCTCAGTGAAGATTCGGGAGAGTTAGAAAATACCATACGCCTCTCTGGGCAAAAGACATCCGATTTTGTACAATGATGATGGTCACTTGTCATTGAATATGACTCTTCATCTTCATTATTTTCAGGGTGAGGCGCGTTTAAACTAAGATTTTTCTGAGAGACATTTACTGATGACGTGTAATAACTCATCCTCTGTTGTTTTGGTGTTAAATCATCATTCTCCGCGTGTCCGTTTGTTGGATTCTGCGCATCACAGACTTCAATGGCACTAGAATGGTCACTTCTGTTCGTTTCTCGTATCGGTGACTTGTTTGAACGGGACCGTTTCGGAGTACCACCAACAGAGTCAGATTGGTTAGAACATCGAAGCTTTTTCGCAATAGGTGTAGGAGGTGAGGACCTGGAGGATGGCCTACCAGAATATCTACAGTTTTCGGGATTTGACATCGTATTTGGAGGTCTTCCCCCAGCAGTGACCTGTCTGTGATTGCCAGGACTTCTTCCTCCCTGTGTTAGACTAGTATCGAGTTCGTTCAGGAACACAGACATACGAACTGGAGACTTCAACAATGACTCGTCATGTAAAAGTTTATCCAGGATTTCCGAGGACGCTAAATAAATAAAAGATTTCAAAGTGTTCACACAAATCAAATATTTATAACGTTCTATATACTTGAAAATCATAAATGAACCCTAAAGATTTTAAAATGTTCATGCAAACCTTTTTGTGTGTGTAACCACCTTTCCACATCTGGCTGCAAACAGTGAAAGATGATAAAGATGTGTGACGTTATGAGCTGAAGAACTCACATCTGCTCTTCTTCTCTTTTGTTCTAAGCATATGAGGTTAAACTGGGTAGCCCCCCTCCCCAACACAATTTGATCTTACTTCCACCAGTACCTAAAAAAACAATAACAAAAAACGCCAGGGCACATTACATAATAACTCACCATATCATTTGTGTCCTGGTATTGGATATTTGTTTTACGGCTGCGTTCTTGTTGTTTTTTTTCAAGCATATTTGTTCGTTTATGTATTTACTTATTTTGTCGTTTTCTGTAAAACTAAATTTAATATATTTATAATGTTCTATACATCTCAAAATCATAAATGAGCTCGTGCACTCTGTAGTAATTTTACGTTAACAAGTGAACGATAATATTAAGGCATGACCCGGCATGGCCAGGTGGTTAGGGTTCGAATCCCCGTCCCACCAAACATGCTCGCCCTTTCAGCCGTGGAGGCGTTATAATGTGACGGTCATTCCCACTATTCGTTGGTAAATGAGTAGCCCAAGAGATGGCGGTGGGTGGTGATGACTAGCTGCCTTCCCTCTAGTCTTTCACTTGTAAATTAGAGACGGCTAGGGCGGATAGTCCTCGTGTAGCTTTGCGTGAAATTCAAAACAAACAAATATAAATATTAAGACTTCAAATTTAAATATTAAGGCTTCGGATAGTTATCGATTAGCACAATGTTATTTGTACTTTACAAGTTTTAAGTCATAAGGTCATAGAAAATGCTGTCTTTATCATAAAGGGGGGGGGAGTTTAATCTCATAGAAAACTTCATAATTTAAACTCTAGAGTAGGAGTTCTCAAACTTTCTTAGCCCAGGATCCCCTTTTGTGAAGTTAAATATTCAAGTTTTCCCCCTCCCCGCCCATTTCTCAGGTAACAGAGAATAACTGTCGTTCTTAAAAACACTAGTACAATATTAAAGTTCTTATGTTTGAATTTTATATATTTTGCGAACCGTGGTGTCCGTCCGAGCGTTCGTCTGTCTCCCGTTTT